TCTTTCTTTCTTTCTTTCTTTTAAATTTATTTATTTACATTCATTCACTGTACATCATTACAGCATACAAAATGAGATTTTCCATCCAGAGTATTATTGTCTCAATCAGGCACATCCACATACATGTTATTGTCAAATAATTTTCCATTTCTTGTTTCCTGTATGTTTTGCTTTCTTCCCCCCATCCTTGATTCCCTATCTCTTCCCCTCTGCCATCTCCCACTCTCTTCCCCCACTGTCTCTGGTATCTATGTTTACTTTCTATACTGTTTTCCCCCCACATTTTATTGAATTACTAAAGATCTTAATTAATCTAAATATTTTCATAGCAAACACAGCTGATATATACATTTCCATGAACACAAGTCTAACTTTAGGTATCCTATAAAGTAGCACCTAGCTGGGGCTATATATCTTACTGTGGTCATCAAACAGATGTTTTTTCTGAAATATTTTTTTTGTAACTTAATTTACATTCTTTCTCTAAGCATCATCACAGCATACAAAATGTGATTTCCCATCCAGAATATACTTGTCCAGTTTTCCTAACCCATATTCTCTCTCCATGTCTGTGGAGTGGGATTTACCAGTCCATTTACAGGTGTAGAAACTGAGACCCCCGAACCAAGGGGGCAGCTAATTCACGTAGTAACTCCTGCTGACCACCGTCTCTGCCAGCCCTGGCCAGCACGGCGGGAGGGGAGAGGAGTGAGAGGCAGCGGGCCAGAGCAGGAAGAGTTCTGGAGGGTCAGGGAGGTGAGGGCTGCTGCGGTGCCAGTCGTGACTCTCACTGCTGCCCACCCCCAGGCTGCCGAGCGCTACCTGTATTTCCCCAACTGGGCCATGGCGCTCCTGATCACCCTGATCGTCGTGGCCACGCTGCCCATCCCCGTGGTGTTCGTCCTGCGGCACTTCCACCTGCTGTCGGATGGCTCCAACACCCTGTCCGTGTCCTACAAGAAGGGCCGCATGATGAAGGACATCTCCAACCTGGAGGAGAACGACGAGACACGCTTCATCCTCAGCAAGGTGCCCAGCGAGGCGCCCTCTCCGATGCCCACTCACCGCTCCTATCTGGGGCCCGGCAGCACATCACCCCTGGAGACCAGCAACAACCCCAATGGACGTTACGGGAGTGGTTACCTCCTGGCCAGCACCCCCGAGTCAGAGCTGTGACCATTGTCCCACCCTGCCTGCCTCTCCCTTCGTGCCCAACCTGCCTATTTGTCTGGGCCTGGTTCTTCCTCCACGGTGGCTGTCGGGGCCAGGCCAGACCCTCTGCCCAAGGAGAGAGGATCTGCCCTCCTCTTCTCCACCTCAGTCCCAGCAGCCTGCTTCCTGGCTCTGGGCAGGGGGGCTGGGAGCAGCTCTCCCTAATCCAGGCCCCGGTCCAGCTCACCCTTGAAGAGCCTCTCACCAAATTGCAGCCATATAACCAGAACAATCTAGAAGCCCTGATCCCAGTACAAGGGAGACTCCAAGTGGTCACTTTAGGAGTCACTCTGCCCTCTCTCTGTCCCTGGAACCTGCCACTTGTAGCTGTTAGGTCTTGGAGATCCCCCCGTGCCACCAGGTGGTGGTGGCAGGCGGCCGTGAGGCCATGGCGGGGTTGGCAGGGAGGTGGGCTTCGTCTCAGTCTGCCTCCGGGGCAGGACTCATCTTCCTGCCACCCCAGACTAGGCAAGGGGCATCCTGGTTGAAGGCTGGGGATGGGGGCAAGTGTGCTAGGACTCAATTCAGACTCAGGAAGGTGTTCGCAGAAGTCCCCATATCCAGTTTTGTGAGGTAGGTGGGACCTTGGCAGCAGGAGTGGAGGGGCTCTTCTACGCCCAGTTCTAGATGGAATATTCCGATGTCCTAGCCCCTGCCTGGGTGGGTGGGGTGCGTTCCTGCATCCTGCCTGTAAGGACAGCCTCTGGGCCCTGAACCCCTTCCCACCTGTTAGGGCCTAGCCACCTCCCTGGTCATGCCACTAGGCCTGGAGTCCAGGGTGGTGGCTTCTGCCTCTGCCCTAGAGACGAGGGGATAGTGTAAGGGGAGGTTTCCAGAGCACAGCTTGGTGGTTTCCAGCACAAGTAGATGGTTTGGAGCACAATCGTGAAGCACACTCCCCTTCCCCTCACCTGGGCCTGATTTTTTCTCTGCGGCAGCTTCTCCCCTGGAACGGGGCCCCTGGGGTTCAGGGGCTCATCTCCAGGAAGCCTCGCTCCCGGGGAAAGACAGATAATTTCACTGCCCCTTTGGGCCACCAATCACTCTGTTGCACAAGCACGGCCATCTAGTGGCCTGTCCAGTGCAGACACCTTGGCAATGTCCCTGCCTCCTCACCCGCGGCAGGCAGCCCCACAGGCAGGGAGCACCCCGGACCTTGGAGGGTGCCCCAAGGCCTAGCACCTGCACCCCCACACCCTTATCGTCAGGGCCTCCCCTGGAGAAGGGGCTGCTCTGGCAGTGCGGCCTGGGAGGGTGAGACCCTGACCTGAGAGTAAATGGATGGATGGATGGGTGGATGGATGGGTGGATGGATGGGTGGAAGGATGTGTGGATGGATGGGGGGAAGGAAGGAAAGAAGGGAGGAAGGAAGGAAGGGAGGAAGGGAGGAAGGAAGGAAGGGAGGAAGGGAAGAAGGGAGGAAGGGAGGAAGAGAGGAAGGAAGACTGGCCCCATCTCAGAGCTCTGGTGTGCAGGGACGAGCAGGCCACCGTGCTAGCCCTGGGCACCTCCCCAGGGGTCCTCACTCTTGTGGCTCTGACTGTTCTCAGCACCAGGAGGGACAGACTAGGCCCAGAGCCCCCTCATTTATCCCTGAGTCCCTCGGTCTGTCTCCACCCCAATGCGGGGAGGGAGCCCATTTTTCCACTCTCTATCTTCCTTATTCCTCCTCCCCCCACACCTCCTATTTCTGCCCTCCAGGCCTCACTTCTCATCCTGAGTGTTTGAAGGGAGAGGGAGACCCGTATCTCCCCAGGAGATGAGCTTTGGGTGCATATCATCCCGCTGCAGGCCCCCTCACCTGACTGTACCTCCTACCTGGCCCCATGCCCAATCCAAAACAGAATTAGCAACAGGAAAAGCAAGGCCCCAGGAGAGACACTCTACTATATATACTCTTCTATTTATTCTGTTTCTATTGTATATTCAATCTGTACATGTGGGTGTAAATGCTGTTAAATGACAAACCCAATATTATACTGTGGCTGGTGGACTATTTTCATCCTCAGTGCTGTACAGATCTATTTTCATTGTATATTTGATATATTTTTAATTTTGTAGCGTGTGGCTGGGCCAGGCCCCAGCCCGCGAGCCTGCGGGGCGGGGCCCCGGCCCGCGAGCCTGCAGGGGGCGGGGGGAGGGCTGAGCTGGGGCTGCCTGCTTGCTGGTCGTGGGCTCAGTAGTGCTTGTGGTCTTTGCTGTAAGCCGGGCCCCGCCTGCCTTGTCTCTGCTGTGTGTTAGATGTAGGGCCCAAAGCTGTGTGTGTGTGTGTGTGTGTGTGTGTGTGTGTGTGCGCGTGCGCGCGTGCACACGTGGGTGGTGTGCGCACATATGTGGGTGTGAGTGTGTGTAGGGTGCTGATTTGTGATTCCCAGTGTTCTCCATCTTCCCAAGACCACACACCTGCCCCCTGCCCCTTTCTCCTCCTCTGCCCAGCGGGACCTGCTGAAAGCCCCCTGCTGTGAAGGAAGGCCTCATGTGTTGCTCACTGGTAACTCCTTGCCTTCGCACACTGGGTTTGACAGGAACCTGGAAGGAAGGCCTCGGGGGGAAGAAGCCCTCAAATTATTTTCCAGTCAACCTCTTGGTGTTCCCACCAGAGTAAGAGGCTCTTCTGGAGGAAACGTACTGATTTGTTAGAATGGCGAGACCCCAGGAGGGCCTCTCACTCGCCCTTGGCCTTGAGATAGTTCTGAGTGCTCAGAAAGGAGCAGCTGCCCCCACTGTGCTGACACCTCTGCTGCTCCCCAGGGGAGTCAGGGACAGTGGGGCCTTCTGGTGACCAAGAGTCCTGGAGGAGCAGGGGGTAGGTGGAGAGGGCAGGCCCTCACGCCCCTGCCAGGTCCTCACCCCACTGGCTTTGGTGCTGTCCAGGCAGTGCCCACCGAGGCAGAGGAGACTCCAGGGCCGTGAGTCACAGAGTTGGGGGCAGGGCAGGGGCGTGCGTGGAACAGTGTCCGGAGTCCCTGCCCTGCCTGCCCTCCAGCCCCACTCACCAGTTTCTTGCTCAGGGAGCCTCCTGCCCTCTCCACTGAGGTAACGTGAAGCCAGAGGCCCAGGTGGAGGTGGGCGTGGGGCACACAGGTAATGCCAGTGAGGCTGGTTCTGCCCTCCAGCAATAAATCTGCAGGGCCTGCTGCTTTCCGAGTGCCAGGGGAAGCCTCCTGAGTCAGCCTGCATGGGCCGCACGGCTCCACGCAGGCCCGCCCGCAGTATTACCAGGCAGGGGGCTGCCTTCTACCCTTCCTCACAGCCACACACCCGCCAGAGCACCCCCCTGTGAAGAAGAGAAGCGAGACTGAGCAGGCCGGAGTGCACCGGCTTCCTGAGCAGCCCCAGGTCCTTCCCCGTCCTTCCCTGGGCCCAGGGATTGGGACTGGGGAGGGCCCAGAATCTCCTCTCATCAAAAGCCCGGCTTTGTACAGACCCAGGCACACTCACCAAGCAGTCACTTTGGGTTCTGGCACAAGTTCAGAACAATCCAAATCCATGTGTCCCATGGCTGGTTAGAGCCCTGGGGAGGGGACAAGGCATTGTCACCCCCGAGCCCCTCCTTCCTGTCTCCCCCACCATGGTGTACAATAAAGTGTCTGTTCTTACCAAACCCTTGCCTCCTCACCTGCTCCTGGGGTCAGGGAGAGGGTGGGGAAGACAAGAGTCCCGAGGGACGGTTTGGGGTAGCAGCTTGGACTGGGTGGGGGTGTTGGACAGGTCTGCCATGACAGTCGCGAGTGCCAGTGGCTGGCCGAGGAGTTTGGGCATGGTGGGGAGGGACATGCATTACTTTTTCTGGGAGTCGTCGTAGGTGTTATCAAGGCACACATCTGCTTTCCTGTGATCTCGACCATTCTTGAGGAAGAGCCTTGGCTGTCTAGAATTTTCTAGGTGAGGAAGGCGAGGCTTCCTCTGATGTGAGCTAGTGATTGGTGTCGTTCTACAGGGCCCTGCGGGGGTGACCCCTGCCCTCTGGACTGCAGGAAGAGCGAGTTATAGCCTTGCAAGGGCAGGCTGTGAAGGGGCCCACCTCAGGGAGGCAGGAGCTATGGGGCCATCCCCTGAGGTCTGGGAGCCAGCGGGGAAGTCAGGCCTTAAGGGTGCTGGGTTCACCTGAAAGAAGCCATATTTGAAGTTTTGAGAGGGCTGCCCTTCACTTCAAGGTAGCCATCTTTTTTTTTGGGAGAGGTTTTTGCTATAGGGCGCGTGCGCCCACCAGAAAGACAGAGAGAGACAGAGAGACGGAAAGCAAGAAATCACCCCCGAGGGGCGATGGCCACACCACAATCCCTCCTCCTCCATTCTCCTCTCAGGATCTTGGGCACACACGCAACATGTGCTCGGCGTGAGTTTAAGCCACCGGGTCCAGGACTCAAACCACAATCAACTACATGGGAATCCAGCGACATAGCCATTACGCTAACTGCTGGTCCCAAGGTAACCATCTTGTTTGCAGAGGAAGGTGCAGGATCTGACATCACTTATTGTCACAAGTTTCAATCTGAATATTATTTATTATTTAATAAGTTATTAAATACATTATTGTTGTTTATTAAGCACTCACTGAATGCTCTGCACCATGACGAATGGAACCGGCCAGCGATAGGGGAAGCTCTTCTTTAAGCTCACCCTGGAGAAGCACAGGCTAAGGAAGAGGCCAGCAGTCCGGCTCCTAGGGTTCACCCCCGCCCCAATGAGGAATGAGACTGCTGGATCTCAGACACACCTGGCTAGGGCTCCAGAGGAGACCTTTTTTTCTGCCAGAGGGAAGTGTTATTCCAGGAGGAGCCACTAGATGGCAGGGAAACCTTTTTCTCCACAGATCTTAGCCCTCAGAACTCCTCTGTCACTTAACTTCTTCCTGCGTTCGTTTATTCATTGAACAAACATTTATTAAACACCCATCGTGGTCAGGCTCCATGCCAGCTACAAGTACATAAAGACAAGTAAACCAGCTCCTGGTGTCCCAAGTTTTTTGGAGGAGGAGTCATGCCATGGCTCCAAATTTTCCCACATCTCTGGAACAGGGAAATGTCCAGGTGCTGAAAAAGTCACTCCTTGGAAGTCGCTCAGCCCTTTCGATGAATAGTAATGTTTTCGGTTGAAATGCCAACCTTCCAGCCAGGAGAGGCATAGAGACCCACTAATAAGCAGTACACAGGGCTTCAGTGTGAGGGAGATCTGGAGTCACTCTTCCCAAGTTCAAGTTCAAATGCCACCGCAGCCTGTTTCCTGGAGACCTTGGGCAAATTACTTAATGGCTCTACTCTGTACAGCAGCGGTCATGCACAGGCCGAACGAGATAATGAGTCTTGTTCCAGTTATCTGCTGCTGTTCCAAGTTACCCCCAAACCTTGGGGCACACAGTACCATTCCATCACACCTCCCAGCTTTGTGGGTGAGGAATTCAGGCAGGGTAGTTTGAGCAGTCTTCCTGGTGGCAACTCCTCAGTGGTATTCGCCTGCAGACAAGCTGGTCGGGGGCTCCCGCTCCCTCACACGCATTCATACATTGGCACCTCAGTGAGAGTGTCTGGAAGACAGTTCAGCTGGGGCTGTCATTCGGAGTGCACATCTGCCCGGGCCTCTCCAACACAGTTCATCTCTGGTGGCCAAATTTCTCACCTGATGGCCCAGGGTGTCCTCAGAGACCAGAAGTGGAAGCTGCCAGTTTTTCTTTTCTATTTTTCTTTTCTTTTTTCTCCTTTCCTTTTTTCCTTTCCCTTCCTTTCCTTTCCTTTTCCCTTCCCTTTTTCTTTTCTCTTTTCTTTTTTAAGAGAGATTTTTTGAGCACGTGTGCTCACCAGAGAGAGAGAGAGACAGAAAGCGAGAAATCACCCCAGGGGAGATGGACACACCACAATCCCTTCTCCTCCTTTCTCCCCTCAGGATTTTAGGCACACATGCATATGTGCCCTGTATGGGTTTTAAGCTGCTGGGTCTGGGACTCAAACTGCGGTCAACTACGTAGGACTCCAGTGACATAACCATTATTCTGTCCTCTGGTCCTAGCTGCCAGTTTCTTAAGATGAGCCTGGAGGACAGCCCAGCATCACCTCCACGATATTCTGAGTCAGTTTCCACCCTGAATTAAAAGGAAAGAATACAGACTCCACCTGTCGATGGGGAGAGGGTGCAAAGAGTTTGTGGCTGCCCTTATGGTGGCCCTGTCAGAGGGTACTAGAGACCTTTGTCATTGGCCATTGGCACTTGTGTGAAAGCTTTCTCCTCACAGAATAACAGCTCAGAGACACAGAATGGGACACTCACCAGAAGGCCTGATGGGCAAGTGAGTGGCTAAGTTAGAGTTCTGGGCGGGGAGGAAGATGAGAAGAGCGTGCGGGA